GCTAGGTTGATAAGTTTACAATTGCATTATCCTTTATTGATATTTTGTTTGTGCATCCAGGACTTATGGAAGATGGGCTGCTAGAAAGCCCACAATTGTGCTTTGTTCCTCTTTGGCAATTGTTATTTTACTCAGTTTGGGTCTTATTCGTTTTAAGGTGGAGACCCAACCTGAGAAGGTATCATATTTTCATCTATAGCACCTCTACAATGCGCAATTTGGATTTGCTTCTGTAACCTGTACATACAAAAATTTTCTTTCTTGTTCTTGCCTGCAGAATGTTATCTTCCTTTTCCTTTTTGGTCTGTTACCTTGTTCATTGTTTTATCTCTCTGTAGACATGTTTAGATTGGCTGTTGAAACATGTGCTCAATGATAAGCACATTTTGGCTAAAGTAAATTGTAATTGTTTTTCATTGTCGAACCTATGTTCTATAAAATAATGTGAAGAGAAACATTTTCATAAAATACCAAATAAGTTAAAGTTCTGTCCTAGGGTTATTCTTATGAAACAACCTTTCTTGTCTGGTTGAGCTTTGTGGATACATACTGGTCAATTTGTGGGTCTGAATTCCTGAATTTTAGTTAAGTCCAAAAATTCTAAATTTATGATATAGAGTCATGAATCATGATTTTCAATTGAAGTTATTTTGTGTATGTTAACTTGTTCTTTTGCTTGTTGAAGGCCATTTATCCCCAAATGTGTAACTTGTTCTCTCTGTTTCTTTAATAATAGTATTTATTTAATCCCCTTTACCAACACAATTAACTAAAAAAAATTTTGTACTTCATCTTGAGTCACTAAATAATGGTAATACTGATGGTGAAAAAAACCAAATGACACTTACAGAAGTTCTTTTTTTATATATATATGCTCATGATCCTTATTTATTTGTTGAAGTTGGAGAGTATTGTCTTTGCTGTCTTTTTTGTGTTGCAGTTATGGGTAGGTCCTGGAAGTAAGGCAGCTGAAGAGAAAGATTTTTTTGATAACCACCTTGCTCCATTCTATAGAATTGAACAGGTTTCAGTTTGCTTGTAATTTTATTCTTCTTTTTGGTCTATTGTAATTCTATGCATGTGATCTAGTTTCTGATTTCCAAGCTGTCTCTTATGTAAATGAATTATCTATTATGCATGCTCATTTTCATTTTTGGTCTTTGCCACCCTTTCCCTTTTCTTTTCCTGAGAAAAGAAGAAATTTATTAAGATGTAAGAATTACAGAGTTTGGAAGATAAGGAGTCCTTAGCGCAAAAAGAGAACACAGGAAACATGAGAAATGGAACACCATTTTTTTTTCTCTAGTTTGGAGGATAAGGAGTCCTTCTTAGCGCAAAAAGAGAACATAGGAAACATGAGAAATGGAACACCATTTTTTTTTTCTAAGTCCTACATGAGAAAACATTATATTTTAGTCCTTACATGAAAAAATGCATACAACTGGTCCTCACCATTTGCCAAAATTATAATGGTGGTAGTTTTTACCATGTAGAGACCAAAACAAAAAAAGTTGTGTTGGATATATGGATCAATATGTAGAATTCTTTCATGTAGGGTTTGAAATGAAAAATATTGTCAAGTATAGGGACTGAATCTAACACTCTTATAATGTTGGCAAATGGCGTCCAAATAATTAATGTTTTTCAATATAGGGACCTAAAAGTATGTTTTTTTCATGTAGGCACTAAAATGAAAAAAATCCCATATATGAATGCTCAAAATTAAAAAAGGTTACCCAAAATTTGAAGCCATATTCATTATTAATGGTTGCGATTAGCTGAGATATTTGTTCAGATTTATCTCGATTGTTTCCCTATTTTATTTTGTGATTACCGGTGCATATTTAGAATAGAAATCTGCTGTACTATTGTGTAATCCTGTATGTTCTTTCCCAAAAATATGGGATGAATTTGTACAGTTTCATTCTTTTAATCAAAATTGGGAGGTGACTCTATAACAAAATTTTCACATGTTAGTTGAGTTGCAAGCTGATATCAGATTAAAAAGTTGGAAAACCCTAGCAGTGCAGTTGTCTAGCCACTGTCAAGTTTGGTTTGCCAGCCATAGGAGTTCTGGCACAATCCTAGAACCTACAAGTGAGACAATGAGTTGATTGGGACTGGCATAATGATGAATGGTGACTTGGACTGTGGGGTGTGGCTTACAAACAACGATAGAGCTCGTACAGCAGTGATGCACATGATAGTGACAGGTGAGTCAATGGTGATGGCATTTTGTGAGGTGGCTGATTGAACTTTTCTGTGATGACTGGAATTGGAACTGAGGGCCGATCAAATAGCCTTGATGGTGGCTGGATGATGGGACTGCTAGGTTTTGCATATGTTTTACTCAGGCCAACTACACATTGCCTTTGATGCCAACTTGGGACTTAGAATTTGGTGCAAAAATACTTGGGAGATTGTCTCTCAGCTGCTGTGTTTTAGAGTATAAATCTGTACAAGTTAAACTCCATGATTTCATGATAGGATTACAAAATTATAGCAAGTTTCCTGATCCAAATATTTACAGATAGTGAAATCTAATAAATAAGGAAATTACAGGAAGATAAATATCTAAGTAAATCTCAGTAGATATGTTTTGGTTATCTGATGTCAGAAAGATAAATATCTCAGCAACTCTCAATACATGTGTTGGTTATTTATCAAAAATCATTTGTTTTGATTTTACTATTACATTGATATTGAATTTGATGCTAAAACAATTTTTAGTATCCAGTTCTTTTCCTTGTCTTTCAAGTTCCAAGAAAGATTTCTCGTTCTATCCAACCATGTTACTTGACAGAGAATATGAAGTCAACCTTAATTTCCTTTCTGATGTTTTTGATGTGTTTCCTTCATATTTCCTGCTACATTCTTCTGAACTAAATTACATTTTACAATTTCAGCTCATAATAGCAACAATCCCTGAATCTGAGCATGGCAAGCCACCAAGTATCATAACAGAAGAAAATATTGAATTGCTTTTTGAAATACAGGAAAAGGTGTTTTGATTTTCAGTTACTTTTCCCTTGCTAGAATTTAAATGGAACACTTTTGTGCTTAGTGGGACATTCTTTATCACAAAATATGTTTTCTTTTCATTATTCTGACAGGTTGATGGAATTCATGCAAATTATTCTGGTTTGTTGGTATCTCTGAGTGACATTTGCTTGAAGCCTTTGGGCGAGGACTGTGCCACTCAAAGCATTTTGCAGGTCCAAACACCTACTTTCTGAATGATAATTATAGTACTTTTGAATTTTGTGTTTCACATAACATAATTATTTGGCTTCTATTGTCTCTGAGTAGTATAACCAGATGGCTTTTCTTTATTCAATTTACATTTCTTTTTTTTGGCATAACACAGATGCCTTCATTTAATTTCCTTTTCTTTTTTTAATTTGGATAGTATTTTCAAATGGACCCTGATAATTATGACAATTACGGAGGTGTTGAACATGCTGAGTATTGTTTTCAGGTAAACTTCAGTAATCTGATTATGGATTACATTAGTTTTTCATTCAGATGAGTTTTATTTAAAGCAGTTTACTTTATGAACAGAGAAAAGTTGTAAAACCAAAAGTTTAATGTGTAAGAACCTCTAAATTCCAATAAATATACCAATTCAGGATTGCATGGGTATGGATGGAAAGCCTTCTCTTTCATTTGTTTTTTCATTGTATATAGTGTAGCTGATTGCATTGAATGCGTTGAATGTGTATTGCCCTTGGTGCTTCTATACATTATCACTTCTTTTTGACCTTGCTGAATTCATCTCTTACCTTGTGTTTGGCTCAAAATAAAACTTAAAAAAACTGTCCTTATGAATTGTCCAGCTATCTGATATATGTTAACTCTGATCATTTAAATTTAATATTTTCAGCACTACACTTCTACTGAGACTTGCTTTAGTGCTTTTAAGGCTCCCCTTGATCCAACTACTGCCTTAGGAGGGTTTTCTGGAAACAATTATTCTGAGGTAGGATCTTGATTTTTGGCTTAGATATCTTTTTATGTGTTACTGCCACGCTGATTCCCCTATTCCAGGCTTCTGCGTTTGTTATCACATACCCTGTCAATAATGCAATTACAAAAGTTGGAGATGAGAATGGGAAGGCATTAGCTTGGGAAAAAGCTTTCATCCAGTTAGCTAAGGTATGGCTAAATATATATATATGTTGCAACTTGCAATTATTAATTCTTGTTTAGCTCATATGAACAAAATCTTTATTTTGTTTTACTTTTAATTGTTGACATACATAACAGAAAAAAAATGAAATCGGCTGTCTTTGATAATGTCAGAAGCGAAAAGGGGAAAGATACACTCACATTGATAAAACTAACTCCTACTTAAGATGAAGCATAGATTTTATTTGTACCAAGCTTGTTTTAGATATTTAGAAAAGCCTCAGTAAATATGTCATGTTCTTTTGTGCATATATGTTCAGGGGTTACTTCTCCCTTGTACACCATATCATGAATGAATGGGCAATAAACTTCAATGTCTTTAATTCCATTATGAAATACTGGATGAGTTGTATTATGAAATGCAACCTGATTATCACACTATAAGAAAATTGGGCAAGATGATAAACACTTATCATTTCCCTGGTCACATGGTGCATAGCCCTACTATAGAATGTTAGCCTTATGAAGTTAAATGTTAAATTAACGGGTGACTTGGATCTAGGAAAGAAACTAAGGTTTTCGTGTTAGTTACCTGCTAGCATGTTATAGTGAAATATGTTTCTGATATACAGATTGTCTAGTTATTACTGACATGCATGGCTCTAAGTCTGGGTGTAGGCAATATATCAGTATAAAGTTGATGTTGATTGTTGGAAATCAAGTATAAGTAAAAGAGGTCACATTGAGTTATGAAAAGTTGAGTAGTATATAAGTGGGTGGTGTCCTACACCCTATTTCCTTAAGGTTTTGACTTGATGTGATATCAAAGCCCACTTTTATGACTTGCTCATGACTCAATGTGATGATGATACTCTCTCTCAGCGTGTTAAACACTTTGTTGTTACTCTGACCCAACAGTGGTGTGACTGCTGGGATGTAGGCAATATATCAGTATAAAGTTGATGTTGATCTATCCACTGTCAACTTTTGAATTCAGGAAAGTGCATAGGTGGTTTTTGAGATACCTACTTGTATGTAGGTTTGAATTAAATTGATTATATTGTGAAAGTACAGGAGGCTGTATAATATGCATGTTTCTGGAGAAAGTGTACTGCATATTGCATGGCATAACACAGACTTGATAGCTAAATGCTCAGATGATTTATTACTATGTCTTTTCTTCTTATTCCTCACCCATATACACATTTTAAACCATTTTTACATTTGGAAGGAGGAATTGCTACCAATGGTGCAATCTAGCAATCTTACTTTGTCATTTTCATCTGAAAGTTCAATCGAGGAAGAATTAAAGAGAGAAAGTACTGCAGATGTCATAACAATACTTGTAAGGAATTTCTGTTTCTTTCACATGAATGTGAAAACTTGATTTGTGTTGAGTATAGAACTGATTAGTCTGATTGTGGCTTTATAATAATGTCCTTTATTGGAACATACAATAAATCTCATCTCCGACTTATTATTAGGTGAGCTATATTGTAATGTTTGCTTATATATCGATGACCTTGGGAGATACACCATCTCATCTATCATCTTTCTACCTCTCATCCAAGGTATGTTATTTTTCTTCAAGCTTGTCATTGTCTTTTTCCCATCATAGCTTCTTCAATTAGGGCTAGTTTACTTTATGATCCTCATTCTTCAATTTGCTGTTATTCAGGTATTGCTTGGTCTATTGGGGGTTTTGCTAGTTATGCTTTCTGTACTTGGATCAGTTGGATTTTTTAGTGCCATTGGAGTAAAATCAACACTAATCATAATGGAAGTCATACCTTTTCTGGTTTTAGCTGTAAGTCTTTATGTTCTTATCATTCTAAGTATCTTTGTCTTATGTAAGTATTATGCAAGTTGAATCAATTAAGTGTCTAGTTACCTCCAAAATCACGTTGAGGGGCTTTTGCGAGATGTAAAATTTTTAGCTTTTCTGTTGGGCAGAATTGGACCCCAAAAGCAATTCTACTTTTTACCAACCAAAGAAGATAAATTCTTTTCAACTCCCTTTTAATATTATCACATCTAAAAACACTGTTTTAAAAAAATAACTTCTTCCAAATTTCCTTTAAAAATAATTCTATGAAAATCTAAAGCCAACAGATCCTAAAATATTTTGGTTGCATACTACTATGCTGTCCAATGAATCTTTTTCTTCCACAAAAGTTAATGTTCACTCATCTTCAGCCCTTTAACCTTTGACTCTTTCTCAAAGTCCCGCTATCTTCCTTTTCCTTTCCCACCGCCAGTAAAAAAGTCTCCATTTCCAGCAACCCAGTTTCTTGCAGTTAGTGATCTGACCTGCACTTTCAAGCGATTGCCTCTCCTCTTTTTTGGCTTTTTTCTCTCTCTAACCTTTTCTTGTTCTTTTTTGTTTCTTCCATTTTCTGACTACTTTCATTGGTGACCCACCTCCATCTCCTTTTTCTTTTTGTTTCTAAATCCAATAACTTTTCCTGTAAATTTGTGCTATTTTCTAAATTCAAGGTTTTCTAATTTTTGTAAGTTTATTGCTTACTTTTCCTTGTTGTTTTAGTTATGGTTTTCTGCAAGTGTTGTGAGGTTTCACTGTTTTTCTTGGATTTTCATTTTTTACTCAGGTTGGTGTAGATAACATGTGTATAATTGTAGATGCTGTGAAACGGCAACCCTCAGATTTACCGATAGAAGAACAAATAAGTAATGCAATGGGGGAAGTTGGACCTTCAATTACACTAGCCAGCTTATCAGAGATTCTAGCATTTGCAGTAGGATCATTTGTTTCTATGCCAGCATGCCGTGTTTTTTCCATGATTGCAGGTTAAAGATTTTTTTCCTTTCAACTTGTTTTGAACAAAAAAAAATAAAATTGAATCAACATGTTTGTATACTGAATTAAAAATTCTCATTAATGCATATAAAAAGGAGGGGGAAAATTAATTCCTTTAGAAAGTGGTTTTTAGATTTCTTAACTCCTGAAATAAATTTTCTGTAGCTTTGGCGGTTCTACTGGACTTCCTTCTACAGATTACTGCTTTTGTAGCTTTTGTTACATTAGACTTTATGAGAGCTAAGGATAATAGGATTGACTGCTTTCCGTGCATAAAGTTGAATGGGCCCTCTGTGGAGCAGAATGAAGGTATGTGCAAGCTATGGCATTCATGCATAGTTTATTTTCTGCTAAGCGTTCATCTTACAGTTTATGCTTTTGGGCCATTGGTAATTAACACGGCATGGAGCCTTTATGACCAAGTTCTCAATAATTTGATCATTTATGCCCCTATTCTACTTATGCATATATGACGGGGCCTTTTGCTTTGTCCACACTCCAAGCCCAAAGGGCTTTTGCATAAGGCTCTGCTAGGAGATATAAATGCCTTTGTTATTATATCTATTAGTTTAAACCTTAATTTCTGCACAAAGTATGATTGTTTTGTGCTTTGCTAATGCTTCAATTCCAAAGGACTCTCACATAATGATGCATCAAATATGTTGGGGATATAAATCATTCTTAAGCCACCTTGTAGATTAAGCTTTTACTTTTACTGCTCACTCATTAATTGTTTAAGTCTAACATTTTCAATTCAAGCATAATCATGAATCATTTTGAGCTTCTGTTGAATCTTTTTGTTCTATTTCTTTTTCTCCTTGCTTATATATGGTTCTAATCATATCCTATCAAAGTGTAGGCATTAGGCAGGAAAGAGATGGATTATTGACACGATATATGAAGGTAAAGTTATATTTAGTTCATGGGACGATTATGTGTAAACTAAAAGTAGATTGTGTTATATTACGCATGTTTTATATATTCAGTTTTGTTGTTTTCTTATTCTATTTGGTTATCATAGGAAAAAAATTTCTCAAGTTAACAAAAAATCTTCTTATACTTTGTCTTGCTTGTTAGGATAAAGGGAAGGAAAAAAAAGGTAGTTGGAAGTAGTTATTGGTTTTTCTTAAATACAATAATATGTTTAATTGGACTAATTTCTATTTTTGTGATAATTGTATTTAACTAAACCCTACACTATGATGATTAAAGACTATCTTCAAAGACTCAACCTTACTTTCATGATTTAAACCCTACATTCATGTTAGGAATTTCTGATGTTAGGGTTTACCTTTAAGTTCCTAATGTTTATGATCATGTAATTGTACTGACTAACATAATCACAAACATTAAAAATAGCAAAAATTGAATCGAAACTCCTGGAGCATCAATAATTGGAGAAAAGAGATTCAATACATAGTCATCTTGCAAATTGTGCTACCCTAAATCCTAGAATGGGAAACTAATTAGTCATATTTGGCATATAACCCATAGATATAATCCCAAGTATTGCAAACATTAAGAACAAATACAAAGAATGTAGAAGAGAAATAGAACCCCCATTGCTACTTTCTTTGCTTTTGGGACTCTAATATCTGTCATCTTCCTCTTTAATTTATCCCTCTCTCCTTTTCTCATATAGATAGAGTTTTTAAATCCTCTTTAGCTCACTTTAATTTAGTTTAAATTAATTAAAACATAGAGGTAGCAACACAAACCATGGCTGTGGTGGATACCACAGGCAGGGTGTAAAGTTCTCTAATTTAACTTTCTGATGCTTTCCTCATTCTAGGATGAACCACAGGCATTGTAGGTTTCGTAGGCAGGGTGTGGACCTCTCTATACAGCAATTCTCAAGACCTTGTGGCATGAAATCAAACCACAGCCATAGTTAAAAACCCTACCTATATGAGAAAAAGAGAAGAGGCTAAACAAAAACTATCTAGTGGAGCTCTCTAGGGGTGTAATTCTCCCTATTTTAAGCTTCAATCAAAGTACCCCATAACCTCCATCTATCTCTTCATCTATATGCAAAACACACAAACAAGTAATTTCTGAACTAGAGAAAGAAAACGCATGTTAAAAATCAACAAAATAATAATTGAGTGCAACTAACTAGACACTAATGTCCATTAGTACCACCATCAAAGCAGTAATTGTTATTCAACAGCTTTGTTATGAGTATGTCAGAAGATGTTTTCTTTGCAGCCAGCCATATGGTCCCATGCATGAATGCCCACAAAAAATTATGTGGGTTTTAATCTTGGTTGATGGAGGACATATTGATGAGGACAGAGACTGAGGGAAATGCACTATGGCTAGGTGACCAATGGGAATTCTCATGCAAGGGAAATCCCCAATGTCCATCCACCTTGAGGACAAGGTTGAATTTTAGGCTGGGTGGTATCTTTAGCATACAAGGGAAAGGATAATGGCAATTAGTAGTAGTTAGTTAGGAGGGACTAGTTTGTTAGTTAGAGTGGATTGATCAGAGAAATAGGGGAGAATAAGGATGGCAGGAGCATTCAAAGAATTAGAAGATTTGTAAGAAAGGAGAAATCCTTTGTGAAACAGAAACCTTTGGAGGAGAGTAATTTCTCCTTATTCTGTTCAATCTCAATCAAGAATTTTTTTTTTCTATTCTCTATTTCCATCTTGGGTTCTGTTAGATAACCCATTAGTTTCTTAGGTTTAATTAGTAGTTAGTTGCAAGTAGGAAAGGGTATCACTTGTATAAATAGAACAAAAGAGAGCAAAGGCAGGGAGATTATCAATTGGAGAAAGGATTGTACTCTTTGAGAGTAGGGATAATTTAGGTTCTCTCGAATAACTTGGGAAATTCACTCAATCAATAATAAACTCTAATCTTTTTCTCTTCTACTGATTCAGTTCCTATCAGGTTCTTATCATTTTCTTATAAAAAAATAACTCTACTGTCATTTTGTAAATATAGGAGGTTCATGCTCCGCTTCTTGGACTATGGGGGGTTAAAATCTTGGTCATCGCCGTATTTGTTGCGTTTACCTTAGCCAGCATTGTAAGTTTCTTGCCAAATGAGTAAACA